CCTGCGGTACCTCTGTCAATGAAAATGGAGCTTAGGAGAACTGCTTTTGGAGCTCGGAAGCCCGTTTTCATTGGCAGAGCACTTGGGCTGCCAAAAGCACCCCTTGACACGAGTAATGTGGAGCTGGCCATGCCTGCCCTAAGGCATTGAAAAATTTGTAAACCCTAAAAATAATTGTGTGATGGTTCACACTTTTATTTGGGCAAATGCAACATTTTACATGTCAATTTACATTAATGTCAATTTACATTAAAATGTAAAGGAAACAACTTTATACAAGCAACTCCTCCCCACCCCCAAAAAAACCCCAAAGGTCATCAATGAATAGCAGAATTTAGAGTCCCTTTTTCCAGTGAGTTTATGGCACACCAGGAAGCTTGCTATTGTATTTCTATCCTGCATTTCCTCTAGAAGCTCAAGTCAAACATTCTTGTCCCATTATTTTATTCTTATGAGAACACTGTAACCTAAATTATCATAAGAAATAGAGATAATCCTCAACTCAATTTGTTTAGTTATTGTTTGACTTTACAACAGCAATGAAAAAAGTGACTTATGATTGGTTTTCTCCTTTACGACCATTACAACAACCTATGGCCAAATGAGTCAAATGAGGGCCCTTGGCAACTGATGTGTATTTATGACAGATGTATTGTCCAAGGGTCATGTGATCCCCGTTTGTAACCTTCCCAGCCAGCTTCCAACAAGCAAAATCAGTGGGAGAAGCCAGATTCACTTAATGACTGCATGAGTCACCTAACAACTGCAGTGATTCACTTAACAACTGTGGCAAAAAGGTTAGAAAGTCAAACTCACTTAACAGTTGCCTTACTTAGCAACAAAAATGTTGGGCTCGATTGTGGTCGTGAATCAAGAGTTTCCTGTAGTAACTGCTTGACATAGAGGCGTTGTTGAATTTGGGAATTTCACAGCTGATGGAAATTTGAAGCTGACTATTTAATTAGAGGTCAACCTACTCACCCATGGACAACATCCAACCTCCAGATGTCCCTCCCATTCAGGAGAGGTCGGGAGGCTCTTAGAGGATAATGGGGAGCAATAGGGGACTATAGTGGGAGCCCTCCACAAAAGTCCCGATTTCTCATGTGGCCCCTTGGAAACGCTAATTGCCTACCCCCGGCTTACTGCCTTCCAGAGAACTGAGAGCAAAACAAGTTTTGATTTCATTTAATTTGTGGTGCAGATGTAAAACCATACTAGTCAAGCTTTCCATGCATATTGCTACAAAGGCTTCTGCTGTACATTTCCTCTATCAAATAAATTAATGATTAGATATTAAGTTAAATAATGGAACACAGACATTCAAAAAAGTTTTGTGGTTGCTACGAAGGACTTACTTCAGAAACCTGCAAACGTGTCCAATTAGCCATAAGCAAAGCTGCTCTTGTGCCTCTAGAAGAGCTTGATGTACAGACGTATTCCACATGGGAAACAATAATTTGACCATTTTCTAATATCAGCTGTTAAATGCACTTTTAATGACAGGACAAAATTGGGTCTTTTTGCTTGCAAAGCAGTTTAATTGCTCATACTGAATCAGTGTGAAATCCACGGGGTCTCCCTGCACTGTCAATTCCTGTTCAAGGAACAGGTGGTAGCCCTGGCCAGGAGGACTGTTGCACAGCTATGTACTGTGTGCCAGTGGTGTCCTTTCCTAAACCACAACAACCACAATTTATTCATGGTTGCTCCTGCTTTAGTCACCTTCTCAGTGGACTACTGCAATACGCGTTACATGGGGTTGCCCTGTAGGATCTGGAAGCTACAGATGTACAGAATATAATACACTTCTTGCTCTCCAGCTGCATTCGTTGCCAGTTTACTTCTGGGTGAGTTAAAAGGGTTCGTTATAAGTTATAAAGACTTTTATGGCATGGGATTGGGGGACTTCCATTCCCTAATTATGCCCACCCCTATCCCATTAGTTCTGCAGAAGAAAGACAGTCCAGGTCCCACCTGTTAAGGAGTGCCACTGGCCTTTTCTGTCATGGTGCCCATCACTTCAAATATTCCCCCAGAGATTAAATTGGCCTCAATTTTTGTAAAGTTCAGAAGACATGAGGTGTGGGTCAGGAAATGATTTTGAACCCCATAATGTTGATTATGCAGATTTGTTATTCCTAGGGTTATTTCTACTTGACTTTAAGTATTGTCTTTTTATTTTTTATGTTGTCATGCCTTTTTTCCCAATATTGTTAGCAGCTCAGGGTAATGAGTTTGTGATAGTGGAAATCAAATGGATGTATAAATGCTCATTGGTATGTGGTAGGCTAAGAAGCCAAAATTCACCTATTCGTATTTTGGAGGGTTTTCTCCAGAAGTTATTGAACATAATGTAGATCTTTAAAAAAAAAAAGTCTGACCTTTTAAAGATGAGGGCTATTTTGCTTTTCCTATAATTTAGGAGATGTTAAACTATGCTTCCCCAGTATGGCCAATAGTTGTAGTAAATGATTTTCAAAATTATAACTTTTATTCCTTCATATCTCATCTATGACTGAAATGTTGGAAATCAGTAAAGCTACTTAATAAAAGAAAATCAAATGTATGTCTAAGAAAGGTTCTGAGTTCATAGCATAATAGGTTTCACAGCAGAATCATGGTTTACCATAAAGTGCTTTCCATTAAAAGGAATCAGTTAACGTTTAGACAGCAAACATTATAAATCCATGGAGTTAAGAGATCAAACTAAAACTATACCAGTCAAAGAGAAATGTATTAAAAGAAAGGACTCGTAATCTGTAGATATTGTTGGGGAGATAAACATCTGCTACCAAGCTTCATTTTAGTTGGATTCCTCTTCATTTGCATGGCCAGCCCTTATAAAGATAGGAAGTATTTTGAAAGTAGCTTGACACACAAGATTTACATATGACTGTCATTAAAAGCTGGCTCCCCATTGATATATAAATAGCTGGTTTGAAAAATTACTTTTCTCTGACAGGAGAGCAGCTGTATAAATATATTTTAACTAATCATTCATTGATATTAAGTTCAAATCATTCTCATTATTAAGAGTCCACCTCAAAGTATGGTTAACTAGTAACTTTTTTTTTAGTAATTTGTAATAAATGATGGTTTCCAGCCCATTATTTATCTTTCATAATAGTTTTCCTTCCTTTGAAATGCAATCCATTTATTTGAAGCAATTCTTTCTGTGCTGGTTTTAACAGAGTATTTCTACTTTCTTTAGTAAATAATTCTACTTGTTGGGCTTAAATATAAAAATGGTGTCTATTAATGTCACAAGTATCACCATTTCATACAATTAAGTAAACCTAATAAAGAATATTAGTGTTACTATACAGGTTGGAAAATAATAATAATGCTGACCAACATCTTAGCGTTTCTTACTACGTAATCATGCATAACATTGCTTTTTGGTGAATGATAAAGTCAATAACTTTCTGTTTTATTCTTTTCTATTGTAATATAAATTATAATAGGTTGCAAATAAAACTTACTTTCTTGTCTTCAGGCATGGTCATTTATCTTTTGCTTGCCAACACTGAATATCTACTTTTATTTCATCTTTTGGTCTAAGTACATATTTCCCAACCCTGCAACTTCCAGATGTGAAAACTTCAGCTCCCATAACTTCTCAAGCCATCATGGTGCCAATGTTTAATAATTCAGAGGGTTGAAGTCCATATCACTTGGAGTCATCCATGTTGTGAAACATTGATTTGATCTAGCCCGTGCCTGCCTCTTTTTAATAGCAAAGAAACAGATTTATCTTGTCTGATTCAGATTCAGTTTTAGATCTAGACATTTAATCTCTGTGGGATCCCCGTGCTCTCTGAGCTGGGTTGCTTTCTTGCAGACATTTCAGTAATCGACTACATAACATCATCAATGCTAGGATGAGCTGTGTGAAGCATTTGACACCCACATATAATATCAATTGCAACTACATTGCAACGCTTATTGCAAAGCCTCTCAACTATCAAACGACAACCCGGCCTTCACATGGTGCCCCCCGTTCCCACCAATCGGGCTCTGTCGACCCTTGGGACTGGCGCCCCCTTGGGTATATCCAGCCGAAACAGCTTCCATGGATCGCCGTATCCATTCCAATCAACCCTTTTTAGGGCTAAACAATATCGGTTGCCTCAATGTGCAAACATTGCTACCCTAGCACAGGACCGAAAACAGTGGCGTCAAATTTCCATGGAAGTCGCCTATACCCACGATGGGTGAAGAGGCGTCAAGTACAAGTACAAGTATAATATCAATAAAAGATTATATTGGCGGCTCAATTCGGAAATTTGATCTTTGGTGCTTTCTGAGCTTCGTTATCTCTTGCACGTATTTCATTTCCCAACTAGGTAATCTTATTGGTTCTATTCAACCTCTGCTCACTGTATCATTCTGTACCATTGACCTGAAGTTAGTGTTTGATGCAATTCTAACAGAAAGATTAGGGAGGCATTTTCCTTTGACTTCCTGCTACTTGGGCAAATCATATTGGTCCAAGAAAATATTTACATGCATCTTAAATACACTACCAGTGGGATCCTTGCTGATCTTATTCCCATCGCACTGAAAGTTTAATAGAGTAGAACTCTTGACCCATTACTCATAAACTTCTATTTTAGTATTATTTACGCTCTATCACATAACACATTTCATGTGTTATTTACGCTCTAACACTAAGTGACACACTGACCCATCCCTACATTATTGTTGATGCCATTCTTTCTGTCTCATGTAGAATTTCAACAAAGCCTCCAAGCCAAGGTGGCCCTTGACTTACAATCAGGGGTTTAAAGATCTTCTGAAGTTAGATGGATTTTTTAAAAAAACTACTTACAACCTGTTCTCATAAACATACATACACCTTGGCACAATCACGCCATTGCATTTTGGACACTAGGCAACTGGCGGCACCACTTTTCATATTGGAGATTTGCTGGTATTGTTGTTTCTTCTGGAAACATTAATTTGCTCAGCAAGTTGGATGTTTTATATTTTTCCAGGATGTGTTGGGGTCTGGGATAACATTACCTGCTGGCGTTCTGCAGAAATTGGAGAAACTGTAACAGTCCCTTGTCCGAAAATCTTCAGCAAATTTTTCAACAAACAAGGTATTTGAAATGTCTTTCTATAATTTGGACAGACATGTATCTTTGGTTTCTCTGTGTTTTAAATGTTAGAAAGAATGGTTATTTCATTAGGTGGCATGTATCTCACACGTGCCTCTTAAGATGTGTGTTAAGACAGTTGCAACCACCATCTCAGCAAGTGCCTGGCACCTCTATTGTTGCAACTTCAGATATTGACTATATCAAGAAAGTAGTCTTGAACAAAGTTAAGCATAATGGAAAGTATTTTATGGCCTTGAAGTTTAATGAAAGAAAATTCTTTTCTCTGATCATTTGTTGGTTTATGATAAGTTTTTTTATTATGAAGATAGGAAGTAGGGGAAGTCTAGCAGAGTATTTGAAAGTCAAATTCATTTTTTGCATGTTTCAAAAGAATCACAAAGAGGCCTTCTAACAAGCCCCTTATTTTGGGATCAGATCTGTGCTTCCTTTTTGTCCCTGTATCAGCCACCCCACCATTTCTTTAATGTAGGAATGGATGGTATATTTGCCAACATGGCTGGCTAGGGGACTCTGGGAGTTGAAGTCCATATATTTGGAAGTTGCCAGGGTTAACACTGCCCTAAATGGAAAAGGCAGGCACGATAAACCCCCCACTCCCATATGGGGCCAGACAATAAAGTTTGCCCTCCCTGTCAAGGCATGAAGAGCAAGAGGAAGAGCAGAAGACCGTTCAGTATTTGAGGTGGGCATAGATTATCAGTCTAGCTTTGTTGAGGACCATTGCAGAGGTGGGTTGTTCCCGGTTCAGCCTGGATCACGTGAACCGGTAGTGGCGGCAGCAGGAGGCTCCGCCCAGATGCAGAAGTGTCGCGCACGAGCATGAGAGAACCGGTAGCGCCGGGATTTGCAACCCACCTCTGGACCATTGGATTGGAATTTATTAAGTCATCTTCAGGAACACCTCTGATCAATGGAGGAGACAAGTAGATTAGGCTGACACATAGGATTGTCCAAAAGTCTCTTCCCCAACTTTAGTCCTTCTTCCAGGTTTGGATGAGTCTTTTAAAAAATGAATTTTTACCATTCTTGTGTGTTAGACATGCATTCATTTCTGACTAGTAATCTGTCACAGGAACTGAAGCCTTTGATACTCCTGTCACAGGTCATTCAAAATCACTTTAAATAATGGTGTTCAGTAATGAGAGGCTTTTATAGAGACAATTTAATTTAAATTATTTTCCCATCCGGTACATTTATAGCCTCAGATTAGTTGTATCTAAAGCTACATATGTCTGCCAAATGATCTTTAAATGTTAAACAAATTTTTCTGGTCACCGAGTTTCCTTGAACAGTTGTCATATCCTTAATAACAGACACATCCTCAGAAAATGAAGAGGGAATCAAAATCAGTGTGTGCAATAAACCAGACCCTCTCATGACAAGCAAGAAAGAGTTTGCATGGGTGTGATAAATAATGTAATATCAAAGGACTGAGAATTGAGGAATGTGAGATTGCAAAGAAAAACCTACTGGATGATCCATTTGGGAATCATTTTTGTTTCCAAATCAACTTACATCAAAACTCGATTATATGCATACAGTTTTTTAGAGTTGGAAGGGACCTTTGGGGTCTTCTAATCCAACCCCCTGCTTAAGGAAACTCTATACCACTTCAGACAAATGGTTATCCAAAATCTTCTTAAAAACTTCCAGTGTTGGAACATTCATAACTTCTGGAGGCAAGTTGTTCCACTGATTAATTGTTCTGTCAAGAAATTTGTCCTTAGTTCTAAGTTGCTTCTTTCCATGATTAGTTTCCACCCCTTGCTTCTTGTTCTACCATCAGGGGCTTTGGAGAATAGTTTGACTCCCTCTTCTTTGTGGCAGCCCCTGAGATATCAGAACACTGCTATCAAGTCTCCCCTAGTTCTTCTTTTCATTAAACTAGACATACCCAGTTTCTGCAACCGTTCTTCATATGTTTTAGCCTCCAATCCCCTAATCATTGTTGCTCTTCTCTTCAGTCTTTCTAGAGTCTCCACATCTTTTTTATATTGTGGCGACCAAAACTGAATGCGGTATTCCAAGTATGGCCTTACCAAGGCATTATAAAGCGGTATTAACACTTCACGTGATCTTGATTCTATCCCTCTGTTTATGCAGCCTAGAACTCTGTTGGCTTTTTTGGCAGCTGCTGCACACTGCTGGCTCATATTTAAAAGGATTTCCACTAGGACTCCAAGATCCCTCTCACAGTTGTTACAATTGAGCAAGGTATCATATATACCGTACCTGTGTATTTTGTTTTTCTTGCCTAAATGTAGAATCTTACTTTTTTCACCATTGAATTTCATTAGATAGCGCCCAATATTCAAGTTTGTCAAGATCCTTCTGTATCTTAAGCCTATCTTCTGGAGTATTGGTTATTCCTGCCAGCTTGGTGTCATCTACAAATTCAATGAGTTCCCCATCTATCCCCTCGTCCAAGTCATTGATGAAGATGTTGAAGAGTACTGGGCCTAAAACAGAGCCTTGAGGTATTCCACTGCATAATTCCCTTCATATAGATGCAGTTACATTGAAGATTACATGTTGAGTGCGGTTGGTCAGCCAATTACGAGTCCATCTGGTGGTTGTGCTGTCACATTTTTCTATTTTATCTAGTAGTAGGTTATGATCTACTTTATCAAATGTCTTACTGAAGTCCAAGTAAATTATATCAACAATATTCCTCTGGTCCACTAATTTTGTCCCTTTGTCAAAGAATGCAATAAGATTAATCTGGCGTGATGTGTTTTGACAAATCCATGTTGGCTTTTGGTTATTACTATGCTTCTAGGTGTTCGCTGATTCATTGCCTCATTATCTTTTCCAGAATCTTCCCTGGTATTGAGGTCAGGTTGATAGCTTTATAGTTTCCTGGATCTACTTTTTCCCCTATCTTGAAGAAGGGAACTACATCAGCTCTTTTCCAGTCTTCTGCCAGTTCCACAGTGCTCCAGGATATTTGAAAGATAAAATTCAGTGGTTTTGAGATATTGCCTGCCAGTTCCTTCAGAACTTTAGGGTGTAATCCATCTGGTCCTAGGAATTTGAACTCATCTGACAGATGTTCCCTTCCCATTTTCTTCCCTATTTAAACTTGTATTCCTAATCTGTTTTTTGTGTTGCTGTTTTTGATAGGTTGGACTGTTTTTTTCCCCTTTGTGTAAAGACAGATACAAAAAACGAGTTAAGTAGTTCTGCTTTCTCCATATTGCTTTTCACCTTCTTGCCACTTTCTCCCGGCAATTGACCAATTGTTTCCTTGACCTTTTTCTTGTTTTTAACATGTTGGAAGAATTTTTTTTGTAATTTTTTTACTTTTGTTGAAAGCCTTTATCCATTGTGAGCCTTAGTTCTGATGAGTGCAAAGAAACATTTTTATATAAAGCTTTCTATTTCCCCCCAAAATGGCTTATTTCTAGTCTCAATATCTTGTTCTCTCCTGTGGCCAGCTGTTTTACATCCAAATCTGACAGTTGGGCAGATTTCGTGGATTCTGACATTGTCTTGTCTGGTGAGTTATGGGTTGAAGCTTTGATTACCTAGCTTGGCTTTTTAGTCTACTATTTTTTTGGTGAATCTTATGACATGTTGATTATGTGGGAGAAACTTTAATCCACCCAACTAACTGTTGCTAGACATTTATATATTTACTGCTCTTTATATATTTTTCTGAACAGAGTAACTGTCATTTACTTGGACCAAAGACCAGATTTTAACTGTTTGTGATATTTGCACTCCAAAAAAAAGTAACAGGTGGAATAGAGATTTAATTTAATTTTGATTAGATATTTGTTGAATTAAATATTGTTCATAGCCTTAAATATTTCTTAATTCTGTATCTCAAATTAAAATCACGATTCACTGGGAACGTCTGTAAAGGCTCTAGATGACACGCAAATCTAGCAGAAACCTTATACTCTTTTAGGACAATAAATGAGATATTAAACTTTGTATGATATATTTGAATACAAAGCAGATCAGCTTTCCCAAAGTGTTTTTATTCCAATAGGAAAAACACTAGGAAATACAACACATTATCAATTAGCACAATCAGAGTTGTGCTAATTGTCCATGATAGTTAGGAGTTCTTTGAGTTGTAGTCTCAATTTATCTGGAATCCCTAAGGTTAGAAAAGAGTATGATGGATCCAGATTGTTGGTGGCAATATGCTGGCTGTGTAAAATGCTTAGAAAAGGCTGTAAAGCACTGTGAAGGGTAGATAAGTCTAAGTGCTATTGCTAAGTGCTATTAAATAATTTAATAAAAGTAGAAGATCTAACAAATAAATTTAAAGTTAGACTTTTTTGGGTGGGGGGAATATCTGATGTTCATAAAATATATTGCAGTTCTCCTCTGTTCATTTTCTTAGGAAATATCAGCAAAAACTGTACAAGTACAGGATGGTCAGAGATATTTCCACATTTTTTCGTTGCTTGTGGATTCGAAGATATTGAAGACAACCCGGTAAGAAAAACTTGTTGAAAAATACTGAAGAAACATCTTCATTTTTGTAAGATCTGGTATTTGTATGACAGAAAACAAATACAAACATTAGCTTCTTTAGTGAGATGTTTTGTCTTGTCTTTGCCGGTTCCACAAAATTGCGGAGGACAAAATCGCGCTCGACGAAAGCGCGCATTTGACGTCATCACAGCGCGACGAAAACATCGCGCTGTGATCGAAAAATGTAAAAATAAAGCTAAAACCTTCCCCTAACCCCCCCAAACCTAACCCTAAACCTAACCCTTAACCTAACCCTAAATCTAACCCTAACCCTTAACCTAACGCTAAACCTAACGCTAATGCTCTAAACCTGACCCTAACCCTTAACCTAACCCTAACCCTAACCCTTAACCTAACCCTTACCTTTATGTGAATCAGCTTGCTTTAATTTTAATTTTATTTCAATTTTTAATTTTTTTCGTCGCGCTGTGATGACGTCACATGCGCGCTTTCGGCGAGCGCGATTTTGTCCTCCGCGCTTTTGACGGGTCACGGTCTTTGCCTCCCTAGAGAAGTGAAGCTTTGCAGGTTAGGGCACCAGGTTTGGGTTGTAATTCCTTCACTTCCGAAGTATCTTAGCTTTATGGTAGTTAACATAGGATTGCGGTTTTTTTTTATTTATTCTATAGAAGTGGTGTCTTTTCTCTATCTCTCCTTTTGAAACTGCAGGGCAGTGCTTCACAATGTTGACCACTTGAAAATGTGTGGACTTCAACTCCCAGAATTCTCCAGTCTGCCATGCTGACTGGGGAATTCTGGAAATTGAAGTTCAAACAACTTCAAGAGTTGTAAGGCTGAGAAACACAGCTGCAGGAAATCATTTCTCATTATAATTTTACCACTTCAGCTTGTAATCACGTTCTTTGAAATGATGAGGACAGCTTCAAAAAAAAAAAGTTTCCACAGCCCATCCAGGAGATGTGTCTTTTGTGAACATTTCAGATTATATGTGGTTTGTACCTGTAACTCTTTTGTTTAATAAATCTTTGAGAAAGTGACATTCTGGCAAAAAAAAATATATATCTGCATGCTTTCTCTTGTGAGTTTTGACAGCTATAATAAGCTTATTTCTGGTTTTTCTCATCAAGATGTGTCAGGGCTGCCCATGTGTGAACGTATGTCGTGTGTGCGTGTCTTGTATAAATATGGCGGCTGCCTGCAGACTTGTTCAGAAGGATTTTTTTTTAATTGATTGTTTCATGAACTTTGTAAATTAAGGAATTTTTAGAAGGCTAAACAGTTTTAAGTTCTCATGGAAGTGGAATGAGATCATTCCTCCAGATGGTCTTTGTCATTCCATATGGCTGGAATACCTCCTACTAACACATGTTATGGCCCCAGTCCAAAGCTCAAACAGCAGATCCGACAATTATTAGCCATTGTGAAGCCTTTGAAGTAGTCGAGATAATGAGCACGACAATGAATACCAGTCCTATCTTTACTGCAAGGGTACATTAACAGAATCTTGCAATCTCTTCTGCCCTCACTTTTGCTCTTGAAAACTAGGGAGGGCTCCTTCTGAGATGTTTTATTTTGCCATGCCGTATGCCTCCAGACTCAAATTTTGTTTATCAGACCAATCTAGCCTATGGCATTTCCTCCTGTCCCCAATATCCTTCCCACATACCATTACAGAATGAACAGAGCAAAAAGAAATTCAAATGTTGAAGGGCTTTTGGGTTAGGCAAATGGTGCAACGGGGAATCTTGACAACATGTCAGAATATTATTACCAAGGAAATGACATTTTTGCTTGTTTACAAAATGGCTGTCTTGGTAGCCAGGGCCAAGAACCAAGATCTGTTTATTAGAAGGAAAGCTGAGGAAGATAATCTCCTCCAATCCCTTAGGATAGTGTCTGTATCTCACCTTGCTTTTGGTCTTTTTCTTGGGAACAAAGAATTTTTATTCTATTAGAATGCCTATGGAATCTGTGTAGAAATATAAGAACCCTCAAGCTGGGTGTTTCTATTTTTAAACCTCTACCATAAACTAATTTTTAGAAATAAACAGGCCACTATAGGAGTTCTCTAAGGCAAACAAAGTGCAATACCATATTGGTGCAATCAGGGTTAAATACCATTTTTCTTGCATAATTCTTCTTTAATCTCTTAAGATTTTAATATATCTTTCTGATAAAGGGGTAAGATTTTAAAATATCTTTCTGATAAAGGAGTGTTAGAAACTCAAAAGCTCGCAAGCTGTTTTGTTCAGTCTTCTTTCAGATCCTAACTATAATTATTTATGTCCCAAAGGGCAACAGAAAATTACTTCCTATATACTGCTTTTAAAGTATCCTCAAAGTTAGGTTATGGCTGCCTCATTTAGCTGGAAATGAAAATATTTAAACAGAAGATATATCAACTATTCTATAATGAATTTTATTAAATTTTTTATAAGAGAAAGACTTTTTGGTAATCCAGTAGGAGAATTCAGTTATTTTACGTTTCCAGAATATAACTCAATTAACATTTCTTCTTCATCCAGTAGCTTGCCTAAATAATACAATCTTACATTTATATTATGAGTGGATTAGAGAAACTCTGCTCTGTCTCACATGTTCACTCCTGGATGCAGCAAGCAAATCAAAACTGTAGAGGCATTGCTTCTGGACATGTGAATCATTCATTCATTCATTCATTCATTCATTCATTCATTCATTCTTCATCTATTTTGATTTCTAGAGCTGCCCATTACAACCAGTGACTCTGAGGAACATACATCCAGATATCCTCCCTGGTTTATAGAAATGTATCTTGCCAAATACTATTTTTAGTATATAGTTCTTATTTGCTAAAATAAAATATTTGACTTCTTACATTCAAAATTGAAGTGTAGGTAAAGGAAGACACCATTGAAGCATCAAATATAGTATATCTTTTCTGAAGTGTTTATCTCTGAATCCATAGAATTGTGAGAGGGAGCTCTTTCAAAATATTACAGCATAGAAAGAGGATGTTTAAAACATAAAATATGTTTTAAAGTGTTTTCTGTTGAAGGATAGAATCCTGTCTGTTTTCCACCACCACCACCACCATCTATATTTTTTTTTGAAAGCTGACCTATAGTTTTGAATCCTCAAGTATATAGCATATTAGAAGACATTCATGATTTATCAAACATTGCTGTTATTTGGGACTAAAACTCTAAACATTTCTTTTTAAAAAAAACATTTTTTATTTTTAAACAAACAAATACAGACAAACATAAAACATAAAAATATCTTCCAATTCCGTACAGTGTGTCAATTGGTTACAAAACGTTTTTGTACATTCTCATCAGTCTTCACTTATACTTTATATAAAATCTTGTATTATCAATCTAATATATATGTATACAATTATTACAATTATTATACATTTATTTGACTATATTTGTCATTACTTCATTTTATGTGAGATATTCTACATTTTAGGTAAATTTATATTGTGACATTTCATTATATCATCCTAAATCCACTCAGTAATAATACATCTTTATAAAATTCTTTGTCTAACCATTAATAAGATAAGTCCCATGTTTTATAAAATTTTTATATTTGGTTACCAAACTTTTGTGCATTCTCCCCATAATCTTCACTTACTAATTATATAAAATCTCATATTATCAATATATATGTATACAGTGTTAGATATCCCCCCCCCCAACCCCTGCTGACAGACTGACAGAGGTTTCCACCAAGGTCTTCTGTTCCGGCGGTAACAGAGATTGAATCCCATTGGTCAAGAGGTCTGACAGATCCCTTTAAAAGGGGATGCTGCCCGACCATTCCTCAGCCGGATGTTTACTTGACTTGCAATAAAGAGCTGTTGTTACTGAAGCCTTTGTGTGCCTCCTTTACCTGATCTAACACTGGTGATGAAGGTGGGATTGGAAGGCAACTAGGCAAACAAAAAGAGCAAACAGAATCTTGCAAGAACTTCCAGCCATCCAGCCAGAGAATCCTGTGAGGCATCGAGCAAACCATCGCTGAAGACGAAATTAAATCAGGATGGCTAGGCATGCCCCACCAACTCCATATGATCCAGCCACCGAGCACTGGGAATCATACATGTTATGATTTGAATGTTTCCTTGAGGCGAACGATCACATGGGTGTTCCTGAAGCCCGTAAGAAGAACATGTTCCTGGGTTACTGTGGCCAGGAAGCTGAAAGCAAGTTCAAATCTCCCACCCCAATCTGGGGCCAGAGAAAAAAAGAAAAAAAGGGAGAAAAACCTCAGAGCCAATTTAAAGGTTTAGAATTTTTTTTTAGAAAAAAACCAATCAAGGAAAATAGATCAATTTAGATAATTCTAGGGAGAGAGATCAATTCTCACAGCTTGTCCTAGGTTGGACTGATGCAAGTCGGTTCTAGTCAGCGAGGCGCAGGCTTCCAGCTCACAAGCTATGGCTCAGAGGCTGAAATCAAGGCGTTCGGCATCAGTGAAGAGACTAAAAACAGGTGGCTTGCGGCACTTCGGAGGACATTGCGTCGAAACGGCCGCCATTGGAACAAACCAATGGCCACAGGAAGTTCGCCAAAGGCTCCAGCGGCTTTTTTTCTTGATTGCAAAAATGTGCAAAGGTGCAGTGGCCATCTTGTGGCTTTGAAAAAGCGCCCAAAGACACCGGCTGCCATTTCGACTGCAAAGCGACTCTTCAGTGTTCGTGGAGCAGTCCAATGCCTCGGATTCCTGCTTGCAACTTTCTAAAAAAAAACGGTGAGATTGTTCCAGTTCTTTTAATTCTGGGACTTGTACACTGGCAGGCATGGCTGAACAGGGGGCTCTCCCAGATATGGATTTGGAGGAGACAGGACTGTCAGGGGCGAGGGGCAGCTGCAAACGGGCAGCTAAGGAGGCTCTTAAGGCATCCAGATCCACTAAGGTCTCTGAATCTGCCAGAAAGGCAGAAGAAAGAGGGCAAAAGGCCCTGGAGAAAGAATTTCAACGGACCCAAAGGCAGACTAGTCAGGAAATCC